ACGTTTATAATAAAATTGAACAAACCACAAGTTCTCGGTCGATGAGACGTAATGTAGCGATAACTTATATTAAATGGCATGCGCATTTCACCGCGTGGCGCTTCGTTCTTAAAATAAAAATTATATTATTCTATATTAAAATCTTTACTGTCTTCACTTCGGTACATGATAATAGGTTTTTGACTGTAATAATATTGGTGTATAATTATTATAACATATTGTTTTACTAACCATTACGCTATTATACTGCAATATTTTGTATATTGAAGAATTTCCGAATAAAAGTTATTACGCAATAAAAACATCTTTCACGACGATAATTCACGTTCAACGACATGTACTATTAGCACACATAAATTTAGCAGAGTTGTATAAAATGTACCAATATTACTCGTAAAACCTCATTTAACAGGTTTTCGTGTCTACAGAAGCGATTTATTTGTTTTCATCTCAGTCGTTATAAACCGTGGTATAATTTCGTGGTAAAAATCGTCTTTAAACATATCTAGATCGTTTTTTGTTGAGTAAGGTGATTTGTTCATGACTAATATACATCATGTTCTCGACATCAATTAATATTCATCGTAAATCGAAATAATTGTCATATTATTGTAGCAATGATCTACACGTTTTGTAAACGTGTACAGTAATATTATTTGTAACATCTTGTGTTTAGAGGAAATTGTCGATAATGGGAAACTCAAGTCAGAGTAACTATAAATACGCGTATATATTTTACATGAATATACGGCTTGTGTACTAACTATATTATAGTATTTTATTTACTCGTCCGTATCAACAGCGCAGCAAAACTATTGCAGGGTAGTAGTTTGGTGAATTTAGTGTGGAAAAGTAAATTATATAATTATAAAATGTATTAAATGAAATACTAAAAAAAATAATATAAATATTTTTGTATTATTTATCAAAGGTTATATTATATAACTAATTTTGCACTAACCAATGTATGAAATATATATTTTTTTATGTCAATAGTTGAACAGATTTTATTTTGCATAACATTTCCATATAAGTGCGACAATTAATAATAATATTTTCGAAATACACCCAAGTAACATAAAACGGCGTAGTAGATAGGCAATTTAGTTGCACCTCAAACTTAACCGATGAATTTTATTTTACTGAATAATTATTTTTCAGTAGAAAAATATATCTTGAGATAGAAGATATATATTTTTTTATTCTCAATCAACCTTGAGTTAACATTACTACTATACATGTGTTAGAAGATGAACATGACGAAAAAACTGTTCTACATTTAATATTGTTTTTACTAGATTTATTTAACAACTGTGAAATTCATAGAATTTGGCAACATTGGAAAAATAAAAAAATTGATGCACAAAATCCCGTATTATGAAAAAAGGTAACACCGTTAATATTATAAACTGTACTTGATTTTACACCGGTGAATTTATCAAAAATTATAGGTTTACAACAATTATTTGTGCCACGAAAATATTATTACGAAAACGCATAAGTATTGAATGTATTCTTGATTTACATATTTTATAATAGGATATTAATGATATTATAAGTGTATTTAAAATTTGTTCTATACAAAATATGTTTATGGCAAAAGTTAGTTTTACTCAATTATTTTTATTTTAAATAAAAATAAAAGGTTAAGAATTTTTTCGATTTGTTGATTTTATAACAAATAATTACTAATTATTTGGGTTAAATAAAATTAAATAATTTAATGACATACTAATATTTTCAATAAAGTTTGACGCAATTGACAAACACTTATTTTAATCTCAAATACCTTTTATTTTTATCTGCGATTTTTGACACAAATAACATATTAATATGTTATACTCATGAGTTTATGTATTCTACCCAACTTATCAACTTCCTATTTATTTTAGGTGTACTCACCATCGATGATATAATATTATTGATTTAATCATAAGAAACTACGGTAAACATTATAACGACGAACATAAATTTACTTTTTGGCAATCTTCTGAGTATACGACAAATAAAACAAATACGAAACCTTTTTAGCTCAACAGTAGTTCTGACTTTCAGAGATATGTAAATATCAATATAAAGGTATTCGTTATGGGATGAAAAAATGGATAGAAATATAATAAGGTTACCTATGTCATAACGGCGCAAAACCTCTCCAATTTCAAAATGTCGTTGGGTGACGTCCAATCGCGATCGCGGGAAACCGCAAATGTCCATCAACACTGGCGATATTATCAAAAAATATTATTATTGCACGGGTACGACTTGCTGTGGTGTACAATACTCACCTCATATTTTATACATACAAAATATAGTATTATTTCATGTCTCTCTATTACAATCTCCTCAGGCAATTCACGACGAGTCAATATTCCACATGACGCACGCTACAAATAACAAATCCTTGTCGTATTGTGTTATGCGCATACAGAGACTCGAAAATAAAAACAATAATTTAATTTACTCTGGTGTTGTGTACCTATATATACATGTGCATTGCACCAACGGAATAAATATCGTAAACACGATGTACGGCGTGCATCTAAATATAAGAGGTCTGTGTACATGTATTATGTACCGTGTCCTTCGAAATTCGATTACGTTTTTCTTTTCTTTTTTCCTATTATATTGTTTCTTACCTATGCGACAATGAAATTGGCCATAGTTTGGGGTTGCTGTCGGTTGTTGGTCCGCGAACGGTGCGGGCCGCGTTTATTGTTTCTACCGTTTCTGGCGATCTCAGAAAATGCAATTATTATTGTATAATTATATATATATAATATATATATATTTTATACTACGCTTCTTCCTCTTCTGTTGCAATACTGCTTATCAATGAGATCTTTCGTCTGCGTCGATGTGTGTTGTGATCGGTCCGGACACGTCGGGTTTGGGATGACACGCACTATTAGCGTTGCCATTGTATTTATTATTATATTATTGTTATAAGTTATAACTTATTATGAACGTTCGTTCCGAAGCAATAATGGACTTATATGAGTTATATGATTTGCACGAGATTTTCATATTGTGATATATTACATAGAGAGTGTTGTATTGTATGTTATTAATATGTACAGTCAATATGCGCACTAAAAAACGTTTTGAAAAACACGTAGGTAATCCTTTTCCATTGCACCAGCTTAATATAACATGCAGGAAAATTCACCAAACTCAACTCCACTTTTCCCTAAATATAAGAATGTAATAATAGTCCTAGTAAAACCATATTATATCGATATTAATTGTGTGTATAGATAGATAAGTATTCAATTAAGTTGGGAACCTATTCTGCGATCGTCAGGCGAGGATTAAGCAGTGGGGTCAGAGTGCCCCCCCCCCCATAAACTGTGTTTTATTTAAGAAAAAATATTTAGCAAAAAAAAAAAAATCATAACAAATTTTAAATAATTTATGTAGTATAAAGGTTATTTTTAATATTCGCCCCATCTCCCCGATATCACGGGCTGGATCCACCACTGGTGATCGCAACCTTCGTAGAAGAGATCAGCATACGACTCCCACCTTATAATAAACCATAATGTTAATGAATTATACTTATCTTTCTACTGACAATACACAATGTGATACTTATAGAAGTTATTATTATAAATTGAAAATTTGACATTAATATTTGTCAACAAAAATTCATGGATAATAATTACGTCAGCTTATTCACTGTTTTGCAATAGAACTATGAAATGAATATAAATGTTTGTTATGATTTAATGTTTCAACAAAAGCTATACCAAACGTATACTTCATTCATTTTCTGATTATAAAAAAAATCATGTTGACAATTTTTAATTTCGATTTTTCTAAAATACAAACAAAATCTACTTTGCTATTCATAAATATTTTTAAATTTTAAATTCGTAGCATTTTATTGATAACTTATCATGAATTTATTAACTAAAAAAAAAGAAAATACATTATTATAAAATTTAAACAAAATTATTATTTATTGTTCTATAGTTATTTAACTATTTAAGATGGAAAATTATTCTAAAAACAGCTAAACAGCTAAAATCAACGACTTGGAGGTCAAACCCGATGAAATAAATCTATTAGAATACTAGGTATACCATTTTTAAAAAGCCACGTGTAAATAATATTTTTTTTTTAAATAAAAAAATATTTTAAAATATTTAGTTAATACTGTTTTCAGTTTTGTTATGACTTAATTCTATTTAAATAATTTTATTTTGCTATTTAGTTCAAGTAGTTTTAATTAAAATTTTTATCAAGTTTTTTGAATAATTAATAAAATATGTATAAACAGTTCCATCGTCTCTAATTTCTGTCACGTGATTTTACGAATGAACTAATTCTTAAAACGGAAAGTGTTCCTACATTTTTATTTTTAAATTGATAACTAATATTTATAGTTTTTTAATTCGAATATTACACTTTCAAAGTTCCAAAATAATCGAAAGCCTTTTTAACAAAACGATCTTAAATAATTTATCCAAGGTGTCTAAAAATGAAAAAAACTTTGTATCTCATACAAGGAATATATAATTTTTTCAATTAAATTTTAAAAATTGTGTTTTACATTCTAATTTAATTTAGTATGTCTGTAAAATTTTAATGATGATATTGCGGTGGGATTAATCTTTAAATTTGTAACAAGTAATAATAATTTATAATAGTAATAGAGTATACATTGTTAAAATTAATTTTATATATTTAAATATAGAATACAATATAAATCAAAATTAAGATAATAAATAAGTATTGTAAATGTTTATATAATCGCATTAAGTGAATAAACTATAAATAATAGAATAATACGATTGTTAAAGAAAAAGTGGCAGACAACTATATTATAGTTGCAAATTTCGGTGATTTTAGGTTTTGATTACTATAACAATATCTCACGGTTGCTACGTGATCAACTCTATTTTGATTCTAATGCAACATTATCTTTCAGATTTAAATTTGTTTTTACACGTACAAATTTTATAATAAATGTTCTAAACTACAAAATGCATTCTCTAAAGCAGACAGACTCGACGGACGACCAATCGGCGTGGTCACTATTTAAATGTGCAAGAGACAAACATTTTTTTTCGAATGCTGCAGAACAGCGAAAGTTACCACCGCCTACATACTTGGACCGAACCGTATTAGAACGAAGATTCCAACAGCTAGAAAACAATAACCAGTTGACCGATGGCGATGAGCAACCGCGGATGATGATCAACAGTTATTCAACTGAGAACGCTTGTCTGAAGCGAACGATTAAAGTGAGTACGTAAGAGTGGCTGAAGCTGAAATCTTCACAAAATTTTAGAAAAATGTAAAAAACGATTCCTTGAACATATTTAAGTTTTAGTTTATTCGAAGGTTTCAGGACAGTTTTAATTTTATATTACTACACTTATGAGTTATAAAGAATCCCAATTAAGGCTTCCTATATAATTATAATAAGTCGTTAATTTTAACATTATTATTAACTACTCTCCATTAAAAAAAATTCTTGCTGGACACAGGAAATTATATTATTATTATTTTTAACGATTTAATAAATATATATAGGGACTGAAAGCTGAATTTATACTGTAACAAACATTGTAATTTTTAATTTATCTCTCAATAATAATTTAGGTTTATCTGGAGGCTATGATAGTTATATTATTAAACATTGATACTATCATTTTACTATACAAAATTCTGTTATATCTAATCAAACATAAAACACAATAATGAAAAATAGCTATTAGCCCAAAATGGATTTTTTTGGCTTATGAAAATAGAATCATAAAAACCATATTCAATATGTAACTCTATCTCTGACTACTGTTAAAATGTTTGTTTTTCATAGATTATTAATGTTTTCGCGGTATTGTTTTAAGATTTTATAGTATGTAAAAAATAAAATTATAAATATACAATATTATGTAGATTGCTAGACTGCAGGATGCTTTAAAATACATCATTCACTGTGTCAAAAATGCATGTTGAAAAATTACCAACCCACTTAGACCGCATTCTTTTTTTTTTATCATTAGGTACTCGGTCTAATACAATATTATTTGGCTGCATACGAATAATTGTGTCCCTGATAAAAAAAATTGTGATTTGTGAGTTGTGACCTACTAATTACATCCCGGGTTTTCTATATTCCTATACTAATTTCGTCCCAATAATATTTAAAAACTACTAGATTCAATTACACAGACAAAAATTAATAGCTGTGAAGCTTTCCATTAAAATTTAATGGTATGTTTTATTCTGCTCATTCAAATTTTAACAATTGTATTGATATACTTAAAAATGTACAACAATATACTTGTATAAAAATTTACAATAGTAGTTTAATAAAGTAAATAAGACGTGAAATAATATGTTAAAAACAATAATTATTAAGAAAAGAAATGATTATATACGACTTGAACGAAATAACTACACGTTTTTTTCGTTTTGATTTTGTCAAAACTGTATTGTTCAAATTTTTTCCGAGCCGTAAATAATTTGTTTAATAACATACGAGTATATATATAACGTGCACATTATAACTTATATTTTTACTATTTTTTTTTTATTCTTTTACTTTTATATTTAACGACGAAAACAATATTTTTGATGTATATAATTACGGAATGATAAAAAACAATATTTTTAACTTATCTTAAGTAGTATAATATTCATAATATTTATTTAATGTTGTCATTGAGTCTTAAGTCTGTATTAAATAGTAATGAAAATAATGTATTTACATCGGACGAAATAAGTATAGTTGTTAATTATTATTGGGGCGCAATTCAAATGAAAAAGGGATCTTGGGACGCAATTCGTTTGCACCGTATTATTTAATCTATAATGTAAAAATTAAAATTTTTTTTGATATAGGTAGTAGATGATACTTATTTTTTGGAATTATTATTAATAATACTCGGAAAATATGGGGTATTGAGTAATTCACCAGCAATGACAATTTTTGTATTTTTTAAATAAACTAACCAATAAGATATTTCTTATAATTTTATTTTAGCTCATTAACTAATACCTTAAGATATAATTATACATTCTAGATTCTAGAGTTATTGTTATTAATTAGGAATCACAAACCTTATATAATTGCCCAGACCTGTAATACTATATTTTAATTAAAAATTTAAAAAGTTATCCATATTATAACTTATTATAAAACTATTTCAAAACTAATTCACAAGAAATAAAAAACTTACACATCATATGACATTTTTATGATTTTTGTTTTGTTTTTTGAAGGAGATCGAAACCAAAAAAAAGTACGAAGTAAAGATATGCAAGGAATACAAACAATTACAAAAAGATTTTACGGCGTTAAAAGATGAGAGCATGCAGATTTTAAACTACAGTAATCAGGTGACCGACGAAAAGTGGCGACGAATCGCGGATTCTATTCAGAACTATTTGAAAAGAGTCCGGGAGTTTTTTGACTGTGAACGGACACATATCAACTCGATGGCTGATACGTTGACCTTACGTGATAGGACCTTAGCATTGGAAAAGTTGAAAAAATTGTATACAAACCATGTGTCCCAAATGGACGAGTGGATAGAAATAGTCGTATCTAAATATTAAGTATTTTTATTTTCATAAAATATATTTTAAAATAAATCCTATAAGATATTGAGTGCCGCCTATGGACCCTAAACAAACGAATGACTTTTGTGATTAGGTTTTTATTACCGATATACTGTAGTACATTCATTATTTCGAAAAAATATTTCTTAATATATTTAATATATTATTTAAAAAAAATATTTATGTTTACAATTTTTATCGTCGTTTTTTAACATTTATTTCTTTAATAACATATATATGTTTAGATTCATATTCCGAAGTGTTAAAATTTAAAAATATTTTAAGTTCGAAAAAAAAAATTAAATTTTTTAATGATCGAAAAAGTACGGTATACAGGGGTACTCCGCAAAATATTGGTCCACTACTTCGTTCACCTTTAAATACTTATAAAAGGTAATAAAAACTAATTAGATACTTATCCAAAAATGTATTTTTATAGAACATAATTTAATTATTATTGTGCAGCATTATTTATTTATTAAAAAAAAAAGAAAAGTTTTTGTTTTAATTTAGTAACTGGCTTTATTAAGTGTTAGATTTTCATTGGTGATATTCAAAATTTTTTTGTTATTTTTATATATTTCTATAGATATTCGAAATTTGTCCATATTACTATTTAAGAGTTTTGGAAGGATTTCAGCTTCAGCCACTCTTAAGTATTCACTTTGATTATTCCCTTTAGACAAGCGTTCTCAGCTGGCTAACTGTTAATCGTCATCCGCGGTTGCTCATCGTCATCGATCAACTGGTTATTGCTTTCTAGCTGTCGAAATGTTCGTTCCAATACGATCCAGTCCAAGTACGATGACGGTGGTAACTTCCGCTGTTCTATAGCATTCGAATAGCAGTCTTATTGGTGAACACAGATTATCCATAATAATAATAATAATAATAATAATAACTGTTTGACTTCACTAATAATATTGTTCCTTAAGTAAAAGCTCTCAGAAGTCTTAACATATCATATTTTAATAAAAAAGTACCTACGTATGAAATAATGTCCTTTTTATTGGCAATATATTTATTATTATTGTTAGTTGTCCGAGGCTGTAGGTACATTATTTATAATTAGAGAGCGGATTTTTAGGTTTTTACATATTTTTATTGGTTTTATGCAGCTTTATGAGAGTGAAAAATGTGGACGATTTATCCATCACAGAGTTCGTAGGAAAAAAATTATTTAGCATATTAAAGCATATTATGGACTTAAGAGAATATTTAGCCTATTTTTCATATTTTAGAATATATTCTATTATTGTTCATAAAAAATCATAAATTAATTTATCAATTTGTGATATTTTCTAGCAACAATTTTTTCTAGGAAAAAAAATTATTTTATATAAGAATGATAAAATTAAAAATCATTCAATTATCTACTTGTTTGTAATCAAATTGATAATATTGGTCATTCTGTTACTCTTAATCCATGATTGTACTTACGGTCCTATAATAACGTGATAAGAATGATTTCTAATAATAAATCTATTTTATTTTTACTTTTATATTGTTTATTATTTTAACTTTAATGTTTCGTCTTTAGTTAAATTTGTAATATTCATTTTTATTTTTTAAAATGCCGAAAATTAACAAAAGCTTAAAATATTCATATACCTATGAACTGTTTTTTATTTTTTATAATTAAATATTTTATATGTTACCAAAAAGGAATAGTACATAAGTTATTTATTGTTTTTATTGAATTATTTTGGAAAAAAAACAAATCATATTATATGCATATTTACAAGTTTAAGGAATATTTAGAGAAAATTTTAGGATTTTTTTAGAACATATTAGCATCATATTTTAAGCTTTTAAGAATCTAAAAATCCGCTCTTTATTTATAATGAAACGTTTTATCGTAGGTACACTGTTATTTAATGCAAAGTAAAATAAAGACAGTACAGTATATTAAATTATTGTAAACCTATGTAATAGTATACATTATTAATGTTTTCAAACCTTATAGCCGTGTAATACAAATTTAATAATATCATATAGAAAAATCGAATTTAAATTTTAAAAATTATTTTTATTTAGACGATTGTAAGTTGTAACAGTAATCAACGTTAGCAGATATCGTGTTGAGACTGTACTATATAAATACCTACTAAAATATTTTACTTGAAATATGAAATTGTTTACATTTACTATCTATGTTCTATTGACTATTATAAATATATACATTATTTGATACCTATTATCATGTAAAATTTATCCAAGGTTCTCACATTAGAGGTTACACCACTCACGTCATAATACACAATCACATATTTTCCAAAGAAATATATTTTAATTTAATTAGGTAGCAAATTAAATATATTAAAAAAAAAATAAAAATAATAATATTTATGTTTTTTATATTTAAATCCTAGTCTATTTTAATAAATAATGTATGAATATAAATACAAAATAACTAAAATTCGTTGATTCATCCGTTGTATTTACATTATTACATTATCTCTAAATGATAATTTAGTAATAAGCTCAAGTAATGAATTTAATGCTTTTAATAATATATTTAAAAATATTTGTGTTGCGTACATTTAAATGAATGCCTTCTTCTCAATGATTTCTTCTCGAAATCATTGCTCTTGATCTGACCACTAAGTCCGACTGGAACATAAAAGCTGTGGTGCCTGTTTATATTGACAGCCTACTCCATTCTATCGTAGTTCTTACCTGCAGTAACGGATTGACAAGGTGTCGGCCTACCGAGTTTTAGGATTTTTAACGTATGATTACAATTACAGCTACCGTACAGTTTAATAATTCGATTCTACAGTTTTATTTTCTACTCGTACTAACATTTGTACCAATTTATCTTATTATAAAATGAAAAATTACAACCAAACACTCGTTACTGGCCCAAATTCTGAACGGCCTGCTGAGTTTTACTCGGTAACTCACCACAACAATCTGGTTCCCCCGAGTAATAATCGGATTAGAAAACTTTCCCGGGTAACGGATTGGGGATTTTCCTGTTGCTTCTATGGGTTTCATGTTCTACTGGATATCGTTTAATTAGGAGAGTAGATTTAAGAATTTTTTTGCGAAAATTGACTCGAAATGTTGCATTTAGGTGAATAATTATAAATTACTACATCTTATACCTAACGTTTGGGTGGAATTGGCGGATAAGTATGAATATAGGTGTATAGTTAAATTAACTAATACATGTATATATTTTACAGTAACGTAATGTAAGTACATTGCTGTGATATTAATAAAATAAAATAAAATGACATACAATATACATAATTAATGACTAATAATAAAATCTATCTTTACCGCCCGGTGGGACTTTAACCGATGGTTATTGGCCTATCTGCAGAATTTTATAAGACGCGGGAAAAGGCCATTACGGTGGATCTACGGTTTGATTTTAATATCAGTCTGGTTTTCCTCCTTCGTGACAAGTGATCATTACTTATAATCGGTCAAAAGAATGATAGGTGCGATCTACGAAACCTGCAAATCCTGTTTTTATATAACTACGTATTTTATGATTGCCTACTGTATAATGTATTATGTTACTTATTCTGGAAATTCAAACAGTTGTTGTTCGTATTAATCTTTATCAATTGGTTGTTTTTTTTTTTCAAGTTAGATGATTTCGTTTTACGAAATCGAAACGTTTTATCTCTAACGAATAACTCTACTGATTACTTATAAGTCGAAGAGAAAGAAAATATGTAAAAAACCAAGAAATAAGTGTAATTGTGCACAGTCGTACAAATAAAATGTAATCGATTAAGATTCAGTTGGTGATGATAGTTTTTATTCCGAAATGTTTTTTTATCTTTTTCACATGAATACCTATAATATATTACCTACACTATTGGATAGATTCGATTCGATTCACTACTCGTGTACTACGTAGTTTTTTTTAAAAACGAACATTCCATTTTACCGGCATAGTTATTGTACAAAGTTAGACCTCAATTTGTCTCAAGTCTCATTTTTTTATTTTCTGACCCCTAACATGCTGTGATGCATTTTTATCAAAGGAACAAATTTATTGTTTATTGCATATCATAACTTGCAAGGTATCACAACGCTATAAAAATATTATGTTTATGAAATTATTATTAAACATAGGACTTTATTCTTCAATAAATTATATTAAAATCATTAAATATTTTAAACAGATGCAAATATAATTATAACAATAATATTGTTCTTATTTATACAAATAAAAATAATAATAATTTGTGTTTTAAAAAAAATCCTATTACAGTGATGTTTCTTTTAAGGTAACCAATGTAATCGATTTTGACGCAATATATAGGTACTGAAAATAATATTTGAAAATAATTCATGATGATTATTGAATAAATCGGTTCAAAAAAAATATTAAATAGTGGTTCTGTTTTTTTTTCCTTTTTAACCATTTTGTTTGTTGCAAAATGACAATAATTTTCTCAGGAGAAATCTTGAAAACTCGTACTAAATAAATTGATGTCTGATTTCTATTGTATTATATCAATCTATTAAAGTATAACTTTTGTAAAATATATATTATATTTATATATATCATAATTATAGAAGCTAACGTACTGTTAAAGAAAATGAATATGTTATTTAAACTAAAATTTTGTTGATTTTGGCACCCTCTTAAGTCTATTATGCATATGTCCATAAATCATAAAGCGAAATCATAATTCATTACATGAAATAATTAATATTGACCATTGGTGTCCATATTATATTAAATAGCACTGATAAATTTGTTTTTGCAAATAAACAAAATTTAGTGAGCCTTTTGCATTTCAATATCTATTTTTAAAATGATAATTTATCGTTTTTATAGTATTTTTTTTTTTTATGAATCTTGAGTATTGTAAAATATTGTAAAGAAACTAAAGTGTTTTTAAGACAACTTTTAACAATACATTAAAAATTAAAGTTAAAAGCATAAACTGCTAAAAAAATAACTGTTAATATAAATACAATATAAATTTAATGAAATACAACAGCCCTTTGTTGTCAAGAAACTTATAAAAAACATACCAACGTCTTTTTTTAGGTTAAAGAATTTTATTTATTTTGATTGTTTTAAATTGTTTTAAGATTTTATTTTAGATAAAATACAGTAAAAATTATAAAAACTATATGAATAATGAAGATTTAAAAGTGTACTAAGATAATTGATTA